CTAACGAAAAGCCAACACAACCGCAAAGTTTGTTCATTAAATAAGAGCACGCTTCATGCATGCTTAAGCAGGCCGCAAACAAAAAAAATAAAAGCCAACAACAACAACAAAAATGAAGCAAAAAAAATAATAACGGAACAAGAAAAATGTACATAAAAACAAGCAAAAGAACCGAACCCGAACCTCAGCCCCAAACCCCGAACCCCAACCACCCGAAACCAGGTCCAAATTCAGAGTCGATCCCAAAGCTCACTAACGGAATGACGCGAAGAGCAGCAAACAACAAGCAGTTACAATTACAGTTACTACTGGTCATTGCTGCTAATAAACAACTGCAAGTGCTGAATACCCTGTACAAATGTCTGGCCAATGGGCATATTAGGCGACATTGCCATAGAGAAAAGTTTCTATGTGACTTCCACTTAATAAAATAAGCAATTGCTAGCCATCGTTGCATAATGTTTATGAATATATCGATAACACGTAACATGTATATCGATAACATATCGCCAGCAGCAGCTACAGCAATATTTAGCGTTCATATGGTATACATGCCAGGCTGATTAAATATATTACACATCTCTATGAATGTTTTATATATCAAATGAATCGATTTCAGTTAAAGTTTTTTATTTTATTTTTTATTTATTGTCTATTTGAATTAGTATATTATATGGGAAATTGGTTGACCATCCAGACTATCCACATTTAAATATTTATCGATTGTATATTTATCGTTATTGCATTTATTGAAGAAGCCAAACTTCTATTATCCAGTTCATGCATATATCAACACCATATTCATCGTTAAAGATTTTTGCGTGATTAACTTATGCGATTATCCACATATACATATTTATCCACATATATATATTTTACTCCTTGAGGAAGTCTCTTTTCTATTTCAATATATATGTATAGATACCTAACGATCGATGTCTTATCGAATTCCCCGATTAATCACATATATAAATTGATCGATTGTGGATTTATCCTTATTGTATTTATTGAAGAAATCTAGCTCTTTTTACCTATTTTAATTCATAATAACGATACTGTATTCATCTTTTTCGATTTTGCATTTATCGTTAATGCAATAATTGATCATTTGTTACTTGCAGAAGTCAAAGTTTTGTTACTTATTTCAATGTATACCTCTTAAATATTGTATTCTAATATTAATATTTTTAACAATTGATGCGAGATTGATTTTCCCCATCATCCGCACTTATATATTTATGGATTGTGGATTTATCGTCAACGTTTGCTATAATTATATATCGTTATTGGGTGTCTTTGCTTTCCTTTACCATGATTTATGTTTTAAGGGTATCGAGCATTACGATATCTTAATTTGTAGCTCTTTGAGCGCATTTACTGGGCATATCCTGGACTGGTCGTATGAACTGGCTTAATTATCATTTTGCCCACAGAACTCAAGTGGATTATGCGGGCCAGCGGGCGGGCGGGTCGGTTGTTATTATGTGTGGGCGTTTTGGGCCTTCTCTATATGTGATGTTACACGATATGACACTATAATTTACACCAGCCAACAGTCCAGGCGCCACGCCCGCTTGCCGCCCACTACTGCCAGTACATTGCCACCTCTTCCCACCTAAGTTTTTTCTTTCTTCTCTTTTCGCTTTTCGTTTTCGCTTTTGCTTTTGTACTTTGTCACATTGCGTGCACTTGGCAAATAAAAATGAGTGAGAGGTAAAAAAAAAAGAAAAAACACACACACACGTATAAAAAAAAATGAGAAATGCCAGCGGAGCAAAATGTTTGTGGCTAATGACAAGTGAGTGTATGTGTGTGTCTCTGTGGGTGTGTGTATGTGTGTGGGTGTTGGCAAAAGGATACTTGAGAGCTTAACGGCGCTGTCGACCAATTTTGAAGGTCGCTACTTTGATGAGGCCAGAGACAAGCGACAGCAACTGTCGACCCACCGACCGCCTGACCATTTGACCCCAAAAATGTAATTTCTTTGAGCAGCACTCCCAATCTGCACACACACACACACACACACACACACACACGCACACACACACACGCACACATGTAATAATACATTTGACCTTTTGACTTAGTTTCTCTTACTTTATTTCTGCAAGTTTTTCTTACAATATTTTTATATTTTGTGCATTTGTGTGTGTGTGTGTGTGTGTGTGTTTTACTTAGCAAGTACATTACTGGAATCGACTTTGTTGTTTGTATTGTTGGCCTCTTGTTGCCGTGGGTCAGTTAGTTAAAGCTTATTTTGTGAGTATAGCCCAACCCCGGGTCTTGGGCCATAATCGGATATGCTGCAGCATACACTAAGGCGCTTAAGCAACTCAAAGCGAAACATCTGCTAAGGGGAGGCGAGGGGAGCCAAACGACGGTAACTGTTTGCCAATTTATTTAAATTACCAAACATTTTCTTGGTATAATACTATAACTATACTATAAATGCGTATTTTTAGTACACGGATGTAAGAGGAAATAACAAAATGATCATTGTAGGCAAAGCGAGGGCAGTAAGAGATATCGATAGTAATCGATAGTATTGATAAACAAAGCAGAAAGGACCAGTATTGTCGGCAACTTTAGCGATAAGCTATCGATAACTAGTGGGCTAATAAGCAAAGTATAAGCAAAGATTAGAAGAGACTTTGCCTGAAATGAGTAAATTCTGAGTAAATGTTATCGATAGCAGTCAAAGTAAATGTTGATCGATTTACAATAAATTTAAAAATCAAATTATGTGGGACAGAATACAAGAGGCATTATGCATGTGTATAGCGTGAAAAATAAGAGTTTTCGCCAAAAACTATAGTAATATCGATATCAAGTGTAGAAGGAAAATAGAAATTAAAGGATATTACATTCTAGTTAAGTACCGATATTTAAGTAAAGTGCCATAGAAACTCAACAAGAATGAAGAGAATTGAATGGATAAAGAGTAGTCACCAAATGATCGATAAGTAATCGATAACTATGTCCAGATTACAATTCAGCTAGATTCAAATTACTCTGAACTCTCTAACTTCAGCTGAGGGATCTATTGACCAAATACTTTTAATAGAAATTAAATAAAAAGCTTTGAGTATTTGTACAATATATTATTCGAGATAAAAAAAACGCAAATTTCAATGTTAACATCTCTGCAAATTATTACCGAAAATTTTGCAAAATAAAATTGCCAAGTTTTGCCCCATTTCCCTCTATTTCAATTTTGATCGAAAATTGATGACCAAGGTGGCGCCCTCTGCTGGCAGCTAGGGCAAACACGAGTAGAGATTTTTGTGTGCTTCGCACCTGCTGGCGACAACAGCAGCAATAGCAGCAGCAGCAGCAGCAGCAACAGCAGCAGCAACAGCAACAGCAACAGCAACAGCAGCAGCAGCAGCAGCAGCAGCAGC